GATTATTGAGATAAGTGAGTTTACATCGGAAATGAGGCTATAGTGAGAGGGTGATGTTTGTGCCGTTATAGGAACGTTATTTAGGCTGTCTTAGAGTTGAAATGTGGTTTATCCAGTGCGGAAGAGAGTTGTAAACAGTGTCAAACATTGAAAACCGCTCGAAAATCGGTCTAAAAATGACTTTTTGGCGTTTAATGGAAGTTGTATTACAACAATGGAATTTAATACTGTGACGTCATAGTCGTCTCTTAGATAATAATGGCGGAATGGTTACTATGATGGATAGTGTGAATGAATTGAAATGGTCATATCTCAGTCATTTTTCAATGAATTTTGTATTTCAAACACTCATTTGATAGGAAATTTTACGCTCTTTCAGATGCTGTCACTCAAATTTGAGTGAAAGGTCAGGAAAATGATGTTTCTAAGCTCCAAGCCATCCAGAGTGCCTTAGTTACGCATATGCGAAGGGGGTCTAGAAATATTTAGCTGAAAGCAGATAAAAGCTCGGAGCAGGCAAAAACGGTAAGTATCATGGAGGGTGCATATGGTACTTGGTGTTTGAGATGAGAGATGTGTGTAATGATGGCGGCCATTGTGAGATTATTGAGATAAGTGAGTTTACATCGGAAATGAGGCTATAGTGAGAGGGTGATGTTTGTGCCGTTATAGGAACGTTATTTAGGCTGTCTTAGAGTTGAAATGTGGTTTATCCAGTGCGGAAGAGAGTTGTAAACAGTGTCAAACATTGAAAACCGCTCGAAAATCGGTCTAAAAATGACTTTTTGGCGTTTAATGGAAGTTGTATTACAACAATGGAATTTAATACTGTGACGTCATAGTCGTCTCTTAGATAATAATGGCGGAATGGTTACTATGATGGATAATGTGAATGAATTGAAATGGTCATATCTCAGTCATTTTTCAATGAATTTTGTATTTCAAACACTCATTTGATAGGAAATTTTACGCTCTTTCAGATGCTGTCACTCAAATTTGAGTGAAAGGTCAGGAAAATGATGCTTCTAAGCTCCAAGCCATCCAGAGTGCCTTAGTTACGCATATGCGAAGGGGGTCTAGAAATATTTAGCTGAAAGCAGATAAAAGCTCGGAGCAGGCAAAAACGGTAAGTATCATGGAGGGTGCCTATGGTACTTGGTGTTTGAGATGAGAGATGTGTGTAATGATGGCGGCCATTTTGAGATTATTGAGATAAGTGAGTTTACATCGGAATTGAGGCTATAGTGAGAGGGTGATGTTTGTGCCGTTATAGGAACGTTATTTAGGCTGTCTTAGAGTTGAAATGTGGTTTATCCAGTGCGGAAGAGAGTTGTAAACAGTGTCAAACATTGAAAACCGCTCGAAAATCGGTCTAAAAATGACTTTTTGGCGTTTAATGGAAGTTGTATTACAACAATGGAATTTAATACTGTGACGTCATAGTCGTCTCTTAGATAATAATGGCGGAATGGTTACTATGATGGATAATGTGAATGAATTGAAATGGTCATATCTCAGTCATTTTTCAATGAATTTTGTATTTCAAACACTCATTTGATAGGAAATTTTACGCTCTTTCAGATGCTGTCACTCAAATTTGAGTGAAAGGTCAGGAAAATTATGTTTCTAAGCTCCAAGCCATCCAGAGTGCCTTAGTTACGCATATGCGAAGGGGGTCTAGAAATATTTAGCTGAAAGCAGATAAAAGCTCGGAGCAGGCAAAAACGGTAAGTATCATGGAGGGTGCATTGGTACTTGGTGTTTGAGATGAGAGATGTGTGTAATGATGGCGGCCATTGTGAGATTATTGAGATAAGTGAGTTTACATCGGAAATGAGGCTATAGTGAGAGGGTGATGTTTGTGCCGTTATAGGAACGTTATTTAGGCTGTCTTAGAGTTGAAATGTGGTTTATCCAGTGCGGAAGAGAGTTGTAAACAGTGTCAAACATTGAAAACCGCTCGAAAATCGGTCTAAAAATGACTTTTTGGCGTTTAATGGAAGTTGTATTACAACAATGGAATTTAATACTGTGACGTCATAGTCGTCTCTTAGATAATAATGGCGGAATGGTTACTATGATGGATAGTGTGAATGAATTGAAATGGTCATATCTCAGTCATTTTTCAATGAATTTTGTATTTCAAACACTCATTTGATAGGAAATTTTACGCTCTTTCAGATGCTGTCACTAAAATTTGAGTGAAAGGTCAGGAAAATGATGTTTCTAAGCTCCAAGCCATCCAGAGTGCCTTAGTTACGCATATGCGAAGGGGGTCTAGAAATATTTAGCTGAAAGCAGATAAAAGCTCGGAGCAGGCAAAAACGGTAAGTATCATGGAGGGTGCATATGGTACTTGGTGTTTGAGATGAGAGATGTGTGTAATGATGGCGGCCATTGTGAGATTATTGAGATAAGTGAGTTTACATCGGAAATGAGGCTATAGTGAGAGGGTGATGTTTGTGCCGTTATAGGAACGTTATTTAGGCTGTCTTAGAGTTGAAATGTGGTTTATCCAGTGCGGAAGAGAGTTGTAAACAGTGTCAAACATTGAAAACCGCTCGAAAATCGGTCTAAAAATGACTTTTTGGCGTTTAATGGAAGTTGTATTACAACAATGGAATTTAATACTGTGACGTCATAGTCGTCTCTTAGATAATAATGGCGGAATGGTTACTATGATGGATAATGTGAATGAATTGAAATGGTCATATCTCAGTCATTTTTCAATGAATTTTGTATTTCAAACACTCATTTGATAGGAAATTTTACGCTCTTTCAGATGCTGTCACTCAAATTTGAGTGAAAGGTCAGGAAAATGATGTTTCTAAGCTCCAAGCCATCCAGAGTGCCTTAGTTACGCATATGCGAAGGGGGTCTAGAAATATTTAGCTGAAAGCAGATAAAAGCTCGGAGCAGGCAAAAACGGTAAGTATCATGGAGGGTGCCTTTGGTACTTGGTGTTTGAGATGAGAGATGTGTGTAATGATGGCGGCCATTGTGAGATTATTGAGATAAGTGAGTTTACATCGGAAATGAGGCTATAGTGAGAGGGTGATGTTTGTGCCGTTATAGGAACGTTATTTAGGCTGTCTTAGAGTTGAAATGTGGTTTATCCAGTGCGGAAGAGAGTTGTAAACAGTGTCAAACATTGAAAACCGCTCGAAAATCGGTCTAAAAATGACTTTTTGGCGTTTAATGGAAGTTGTATTACAACAATGGAATTTAATACTGTGACGTCATAGTCGTCTCTTAGATAATAATGGCGGAATGGTTACTATGATGGATAATGTGAATGAATTGAAATGGTCATATCTCAGTCATTTTTCAATGAATTTTGTATTTCAAACACTCATTTGATAGGAAATTTTACGCTCTTTCAGATGCTGTCACTCAAATTTGAGTGAAAGGTCAGGAAAATGATGTTTCTAAGCTCCAAGCCATCCAGAGTGCCTTAGTTACGCATATGCGAAGGGGGTCTAGAAATATTTAGCTGAAAGCAGATAAAAGCTCGGAGCAGGCAAAAACGGTAAGTATCATGGAGGGTGCCTATGGTACTTGGTGTTTGAGATGAGAGATGTGTGTAATGATGGCGGAGATTGTGAGATTATTGAGATAAGTGAGTTTATATCGGAAATGAGGCTATAGTGAGAGGGTGATGTTTGTGCCGTTATAGGAACGTTATTTAGGCTGTCTTAGAGTTGAAATGTGGTTTATCCAGTGCGGAAGAGAGTTGTAAACAGTGTCAAACATTGAAAACCGCTCGAAAATCGGTCTAAAAATGACTTTTTGGCGTTTAATGGAAGTTGTATTACAACAATGGAATTTAATACTGTGACGTCATAGTCGTCTCTTAGATAATAATGGCGGAATGGTTACTATGATGGATAATGTGAATGAATTGAAATGGTCATATCTCAGTCATTTTTCAATGAATTTTGTATTTCAAACCCTCATATGATAGGAAATTTTACGCTCTTTCAGATGCTGTCATTAAAATTTGAGTGAAATGGTTTTTCCAGTGCGGAAGAAAGTTGTAAACAATGTCAAACATTGAAAATCAGTCTAAAAATGACTTTTTGGCGTTTGTAAACAGAGTTAAACATTGAAAACTTCTCGAAAATCGAATCAAAAATAAATTTTTGGCGTTAATTGGTAGTTGTTTTACAACAATGGAATTTAATACTGTGACGTCAAATTCGTCTTTAACGTATACGGGCTGAATGGTTACTAAAAAGGGTATTGTGAATTACTTAAATGGTCATATCTCAGTCATTTTTCAAGGTATTCTGTATTTCAAACACTCATTTGATAGGAAATTTTACGCTCTTTCAGTTATTTGAGTGCAAGTTCAGGAAAATTATGTTTCTTAGCTCCAAGCTATTCCACGCTCTTTCAAATGCCTGAATAGTATTTGAGTGCAAGGTCAGGAAAAGCTCGGAGCAGGCAAAAACTGTAAGTATCATGGAGGGTGCATATTGTGCTTGATTCTCTCGAAAGATGGCGAATTTCATGTTTAGATTTGTACAGATTACTGATATATATTAGACTGTTTTTAAAAGAAAATAGCAATGATGTTTTGATTTTTTCAAGGAAAATTTTCTTTTGTGTCAATACTCGTATTTGTGCATTAATTTTTTGCTTAACTGAAGGTTTATTCGGTCTTACTTGAAGAATCTACCCTTACTCTAAGCCTCGAACTGAGATTTTAACCTGTGACGTAAGGACAATTTTATGCTTACTCTGCAATTTTTCAGGTGACCTACATTTGTGTAAACAGGGTGAAATATACAAAATTTTGTATTTTGTACAATATATAAGATTGTATTAATCATAAAAGATTTGTTATTGATTTACAGTTGTTTTGTATTGTACTCTATATAATTATGACGGTGTACAAGGATACACTCTGAATATTCTTCATAATATATGATTACCCACAGGGTAATCAACTATGCATTATAGCCACAGAAAAGAATTTTTTCCGTTTATCCGGGATGTAAATCTATCATTTCCTTCATAATGTTAAGAAGTGTAGTGTTAATATAAAGGGTGCTTTTGACAACATGAAGCTTCTGTGTACATTTATTTCATCAAGGACATTTTTAAGTAACCCTGTCAAAAACATTTTACCTCTATCATTAAACTGTAAATTTAGTGCATTATCTTCCGATGCTGTGCAGGTAAAAAGGAAAAATAGTTCAGATTATTCCTTTGAATCAAATGTCGTTCGATTGCAACAAGAATCAACGGAGTTTTCATGGGAAGCAAGCAAAACCGTTGTCCATTGTCATTATAAAAATGGACTTGGGAGTCTTCCGGTGGAAGTGAATGTGTACGATAATGGTCTGGGGGACGATGCTCCTACGGTTGTTATGTTGCTCGGTCTTTCCGGCAGCGGAGAGGACTTTAAGGATATGGTTGCTTCTCTGAGTTCTGCAGGAATTCGATGTGTTGCGCCTGAAATTCCAGGTAGGGTTCTTGGTTAAAAAGTCCTTTATATTTGATATATGTATTTATATTAAGCAGAGAGGATATAAGCAACATAAAATAAAGCAGAATAATTATTTTTTTTAATACCGTAATTTAAAAGTTCAGAAAAAAATGTTTTTGAACTTATTTTGTTACAATTTGAACTGTTGAAATAATATTTTTCGATAACAAGAATAGCTTTACAGAAGACTTGAAATACTTGTTTGTAAAATTAGTATTACTTATTCTCCTTTTTTCCGTTGATGACACACGATAACCCAGATCGATTGGAATGCATTTCAGGGTTTGGAGACAGTGTGATATCTCGATCTGATATATATCGACTTGATTTCACCTCCATTGGCCAGAGTCAAATGTTGACAGATATTCTGAAGAAAAAGAAGATAGCAAGGTTAAATACAAATTGCATAAAACGTACAATGGTTAATTGTTTGAACAGTTAGCAAAAAGGAAAATATACAAAATTGATTATCCTTGAATTTGCATTGATTTGATGTAGAAATGATGGAAAGATTAATATTGATCAATGAATCGTAATTTAATCATACATATGCTTTATGATATTTGAATTGATATAGAATGTATAATTTTCTATCATATATTATTCATGTTATTATCATAATTCCATACATACATTCTATCGAATGAAACGTAATTTGCCTTTAGCAACCTTTATTCATTGATAGACCGAGGGATTTGCTCGAACAGTTTATCTGTGTTTTACTTATACAGATTTTTACATGTACATACATGATAGTAAAAACAAATAGGTATAGAATATGGAAAATATATCAAACATGAATTATTTTCTTGTCATTTAACAAGACATGCAAGATCTCATAAAATTGATATCACTTTGAAATCACTCATTTTCGTGGGGGTTCATATTTTCTTTGGTATGTCTTATTTGGAGACCCACGAATGAATGTCCTTCACGAAATGTAAATTTCATATGCATTACTACTTAACATTCTCCAACCAGGAAATCAAATCCCACAAACTAACATTTTTTTCTATAAACCTCGAAAATTTGATCTGACAAAAATATGTGATTTTACAGTTTCCAAAATGTAATATATTTCAAATTTTATTAATAAAATATTGTACATTTTGTACAAATTATTTTGACAAATTGACGTCTGTTTACATGTAATATAATTTTTCTTTTAAATCTTGAACTTGTGAAAAATGACCTTTAATGTTACAGAATAGACAGTGTCGTATCACACAGTGCAGCATCCTGGCTGGCTGTCCATTTTGGTTCATCACATCAAAGTGTGAAATCCCTCTTCTTAATAAATCCATTGAGCATCCGCCCTAATAAGTAGGTATCATTAGTCATCATTTAACTTTTTATCTCTGCCAATAATAGTAGTTCCTTACCAAAATTATATTTTTACTGAACATTTTTTCTTTCTCATTTTTATATTTTTGTGCATCCCAAAATCCTAATCATTCATTGAAATGAAAATATGCAATTTATAAATGTCAGATGGATTTAGTGAATTAATTTTAAAAACTTGAAAAGAAAATTGAGTTATTTCAGCAGGTTTCGTAGCATCATACGACACGACAATACGATTTTCTTCTCTGACTCTTTCAGATCATATTCCGTAAAAAATACTAAAAATCCATTTATAAATTGCAGTAGGCTTTAAAAGGCAACTTATTCGTAAACATCGGAAATGTAATTTCATCAATATTCAGTATACTCAGTTGTCACCTTTTGAGATAGACGGACGTATGATAAATAGCTCTTGGTAGTGACGAAAGATAAATTAACTGTTTACTTCTTCTAAGGCAGGGGAGAACGATACCAAAGAAATTTACAAATGTTGCTCAGGTCAGTAGAATGTACAAAAAACCCAAATACACGCAATTGCAAAAATAAGTAAACAAGGCAATGCATGAACATCGCTATTCTACGTCGATACCCGACAATAAAACAGTCAGGTGTAACAAATGCGAAGAGTATATATATACTTCGGTGTTGATATTGTAGGTAGTATACTAGTAATCGAATATGGTGTATGCCTATATACAAATCGTGGTCGGCTTTAACCAAGTAGTTCTCTATTTCTTAGCTCTTTGTGCGTGATGTTAATATAGGTATGTCTTAGTAGTTATGGAAACGTATTTATGGCTCAATTTCAGGGCTATGAGGCCCTATATTTGGACAAAGCTGGTTGGTGCGACTGCTAGAAAAGAAATGCTGTGGCCTGTTGCTGATTCTTACATAAATACTGGTGCTCGAAGATCAGGTACCTTAATAACTGTCTTTAACAAGATTTAATGAAAATGATTTTCAAGATAATTAGATTTGATTAACAAAGAACGTAAACTGATTCATCTTTACGCATTAAGGTTTTTTCACATATGTATGTCATATTTTATGAATCCTAGACAACTTATATTACAATCCAATTTTATCCTAAAGAATATGATAAGATAATGAATGCAAATGTTCCCAGCATAATTGCGACATACTTCGATATATGAATCTATCAGCTAATAAATAAACTTGAATAAGCAAGAATTAATTCTTTACGGTAATGATATGACGAATACGTTTTCCTAATCCAATACAATAAGTACTAAGGGCATCATATTTAACAAACTTTTTTTCATTTACATGTGAATTAGATTTTTATCATTCAAATGACACTTTTGTTTCATTTTCATTAATCATGTTAATATGTGTATAAAATAATTAATTGATTAAACCGTTTGATTCAGTATACATATTTTTTTTTATTTTACATTAAGGTTTCAAGATTCCTCCGCACAAACACCGACAGATGTATGTTTCCCTGGAAACTGTATCTACTGTTGATTTTAATTTGGTAAGTTTTCGATATTTCTTTTAATGTCTTTTATGCCGTTCTTATTTTCGATCGTAAATTTACAAAACAAAAACAAAAAAGAGTATTTAAGAATGACGTCAAGAGACTTCTGACTTAGAGATATATTGTAGATATATTTGAGATATTGTTCGACAATATATTATGCTTATTATTATTGTCATATATTTTTTTTCGTGCTCATTGTTGTTATTGTGATCATTTACATGCATCATTATAGAATTACACATTCTAAATCTTTAATAATTTTTTTTGAAATATGAGATATATATATATATATATATATATATATATATATATATATATATATATATATATATATATATATATATATATATATATATATTTTCCTAGATAGTCCGAAAAGTGAATCTTTGTGCTTTATATATATATATATATATATATATATATATATATATTTGTCCGATCATGACAAGGAGAGCATGGCGGATGTGACCGCTCGATAGGTGTTGCTTACTCATCAATGGCACCTGATCCCACCCCTGGGTTTCTAGAGGTCTGCGTTTGCTCTGCCCCAAAATGTACTATTTCAATGGACTTTTGAAAGTGATTACTGTTCGTTATCTCCATATTTTATTGGCTTTACTAAAGCGTTTAGACTGTGTCCATTACGTTATGTTTTTTTTTTTACAGCAGACATATTATTTTTATTCGAATAAAAACTTTTTTTTATGTTGTGACTTGTCTCCACCCAAAGCCATTTTTTTCTTAATATCAAAAGTTGTATCTTAATGTCATGACAATAAGATTTGTTCTCGAGATAATATAATAAAATTAAGTGAATGTTTGGACTAAGCAAATTGATTATTATTTAATTGCTTATAAAATAAAGTGTAGAAAATCAACAGAAACGCAATTATTTTGCTTCAGGTCATGGAGAACGTAAAAACCATCCAATCAAAACGTCTCCCAGCAATGGTAGCATGGAGTAAGAAGGACAAGATGATTGAGGAACCCTTAACTCGTCAGCTAGTGGGTTTACTTGGTCTGAGAAATGAGATACCAGTAACTGGTCAACCTACTAAAGGTAACATTAAATTTACTGCTTCGTTTGATTGTAAACTTTGTTTTACATATCAGTTACGAATACTTTACCAGAAAGATCAACGCAAAGCAATAGTACCCAGACCTGATACAATATCAGGAATATCAGGAATAGACTCACATTGTATAACGGTTCCAAAAAACAAATCTTATTGCTTGATTAATCTTTTTGTACAAGAAAGGCTGTCAGAAAGTTTTTTCTACAGTCCTCCCTCCTGTACTTAATTTTAGCAATGCAATGTATTTAGTTTTCAACTGTTTTTTTTTTTCTTTTTTTTAATTTTTAAAATCATTATTTGTTTTATGTAGGTACATATATCTTCCTTTGCATTTCTCTACGGTGTATTATTTTTTTCCAGAAAATATGGTGATCTCATAATCAGTACTATGGCCCCTGGGCATTTTATTCACATTCTCTTCTTAATATAACAACTTACATCATACAGGAAAATCAAATAATGTTTATGTATTCCTAGTGTTGTATCGGCCATATTTCATATTGTATTTTTAACAATGTAAAATTATTATTTTTTCTTCACTTTATAGGATGCCAATACCCTTTCACCAAGGAACTAGTGTTCGAAAACGGAGGACATGCTCTACATAAGAAAGAGGCTAAATTTCTATCAGAGAATATCATTCTAATGCTTCGACATATACTGTACTCTAACAAATAATAAATTTATTAAAAATATATTACTTTCTGTTGAAACTTTATACATTTCAGTCGTCTGTTGTAATTTTTTTTTTCTGCAACATACGACGAAGTTTGTGTGTTAGATTTTTTTGGAGGGGGGGGGCGGTGTCGCCCCCCCCCCCCCCGTTGCCATTGTCAAATCAATCAATCCATCTGAGTTTTATTTTATACTAGTGACAATGTTATATTAGAGTTTTTTGCTGATGATTTTCAAAACGCATTGAATGAATTTCATACATTTTGTATTCGATGGAATGGCATGGATTGAGTGTATCCAAAGAATTCATATACTAGTATATGACACGGGCAGGGTGTGGTATCTATTATTTAATCAGAATTTAAACAAGTTTATTCAGACATGGTTATCGATCTTAATTGATTTCTTTCTCTCAATATTAAAAGCATAAAATAATTAAATTATGACAGGGCCATTTGTTGGAGTAACTATTTTATATTTGATAATTTGGAGCGGATTCAGAGATTTGTGTTTGGAGTTGTTCCATTTCATGATCTTTTCTGGAAATAAATAAAAACGACCAAGAGCAAACTGAAGAAAAAGTGACAAGGTTATATACAAAGTCAAGGTCAAAAACTTATTACAGGGTTTATTTGCTCCCCCTAATGTTGTCATGCAGTGTATTTTAGTGTAATGAAAATTACTAGTATCTTGTCATTTAAAAAAAATGAACATCCAGAGCTTCATGAAACACGGTATTTTTTAAATAGATTTATTATTCAAACAAAAAGAGTTATTCTGCTGCAAAAATACAAGTTTATTATATATCCTTCGTTGAGCAAGTATAATGTTGTATGGAATCCGGATATGACTTCATCAGTTCATGGATTAGTATCGCACCATGGAACACCAACTGAAGGGTCCATGTAGCGATGTGATGGTCCAATGACAATGAAGCTATGGCGCACAGATGTTGACGCGACGATGCGTTTGCGCGATGACGATAATTGCGATGGTACGACTATGCAATAGCACGATGGAATGATATTGAACATAGCTTAATCGTCTTAGTTCCAATGCGTCATCATCATCGGACGATCTTATAATCGCTTCGCACCGTTACATCATCATGCCATCGCATGAAAGCTATTACATCATCGTCTTTGCGCTATATTTAGCACCATCGCTTCAATGTCGTCGCATTATCGCGCCATCGCATTATCGACCCAAACCTCAATGGTGCTCTGATGCAAACTTCATGGCCCTATCCAGATTCCAAATCATCCTGAATTCAATAAATAAAAAAATCCTTTTACATTTTCACTAAACCCCTTTTTTCAACTGGTTGCTGTCTTGTCCTTGCACAAAAGATGGCCACAATTGATACATAGCGATTAAAGGAACTCCTATCCACACACCGTTTGGAAAGTAGAACAGAAACGTTAAAGTTAAGGTGGAATCGGAGCCGATCCAATCCTGCGCTCCACAAATTTCCGTAAACATCAAGAAATACGTCACAGTTTTCCACATCGTCATAATATTAACATTGTACGCCATTAAACGGGTGTGGCGACTCGACCGGTAGTGCTGTTGGGCAAAAGATAAAGGAAATTATGCTTTATTTTATAAAAAAAAAAATTCTCATTCATCAGAAGATTTGCAAAATTATATTTATTATTTAGAATTTCAAATAAATGGAAACTAATAGTACAAAATAATACATAATCAACCATTATCACACTTACCAATATTATGGTCACTATGCTCAAGAAAACTTCGACATAGTTTTGCCTATAATTAATAAAAAAATATTTAATGTTTACTATTTCCCATTTCTCTTCTGAATAATGATAAATAGTATCTAATCTAATCTGACAATCCAAAATGTGGTACCATTTCTCTGCTCGATAAGACGAAAAAATACGAGCTGTAATCTGACACCCACCCCAACCCCCCAAAAAAATAATTTAAAAATTTGAATTTCTGGCTTTATAAAACGTTGCTGAGTTCCATTTTTGATTAAAAATAGATTGATATAATAATATATTAATTAATTAAAATAGTTATCCTTGGTTGTCTCTCTTGCAGGGTTAAATATTGGATTCTACCTCAGAAGTTTATTTATCAGTCTCATTACCTTCGACTGCATTCATAATTTTAACATTACAATAACATAGTTTTAAAAGTTTAAATTGATAAATTTCAAACTTTGAATTAAAGCAACATATCCCATGATTTTTTTTTTATGAATTTCATTTTGCAAGTAAAAATATAATTTAAAATGCAATATATTTATCTATTTTAAAAAAGTAATAAGTTCTTAATTATTCTCTAAGCACTTTTATAATTTTATTTTATTTGTTATTATTTTTTATATATACTTAGTGTATTTTTTTTAATTCGGGAGCGAAAGGTTTCGTGTAAGTAATTTCTATAAAACAACGGCTTGGGAGGGGTGTTCAAAATGAAAAAAAGTATAATATGAAGAAGGAGGAGGGGTTCCCTCTATGCACTATGACGACAAGTATACACTGGGTACATATGCACTCAACTTACAGACTGATTGCTTTCACAAACGGGTCACTGGTGTCCACATAACGTTTGTCAATGTTGACATAGTACTTATCTGCAAAATTAATCAAATATCAACATATACACTTTGATCCTTCAGGCCAAATATTAATGAAGACAGTTTTTCAATTTACTGTAAAACATCTGATAGCAGTACGTGCATGTTAGTTTTTGTTTGTTTTAAAGGCAAATGTAGTTACCTACATATGATACAAATGTACTTATTGCTTAAAGATACGTGATTTAAGTTTTAACATGGAAGTATATATATCAAATAAAAATTTCAGTAGCTGTGAAGGACATCTGCACACAATAAAATAGATATTATTGGATACGAAAGGGTTTTTTTTTTTTGGTCGATATATTTTTTATGTGATATGTCACTGCTTAATTTTATATTCTTCCCCTTCCCCAAAAATTATCAGTTTCAGCACTGATATATAGGTGTGCATGTACCTGTAAAATTGTGTTATTTTCATTCGTAGGAAAAGAAAATGAATCGATACGCCATCACTTCTTACATTCAAAATAGAGACCAAAGAATTTTAACCCAATTTTATGCCGCCTCAATTATGTCTAAACTCTAGGGTGTATTTCTTTGGAATGTTCATATCAGCTTGCATAAATGAAAGTCCTACTACATGTACATGTATTACAAAAGCAGGTAAAAAGAATACATCTGATTTTGTCTGTTTTTCAAAAGGCATAGTTTGATATAATAAGAATATATATATATAGAGAGAGAGAGAGAGAGAGAGAGAGAGAGAGAGAATTATATGTTTAATAAACCGTTATAAAAGAAAAAATGGGGTACTTACATAAATACCAAATCCATGAGTACGATCCCCCGGGAAGTGAATGAGGGCGAAACATGATGAAGCTTGCATCCCACGTACAAATGATGGCATTGGCATACATCCATCCTAAAATCCAGCCTGGGAGTTGTCTTAAATCCTTAGTCCTGGGCATACTAAAAGGGTGTCTTACTTCTTTACCTCACATAGATCTGTGCTACAGGTCGAGTGTAAATAGACCATTAAAACTTCCCACAGGGTGTCAAAGATTAGTGATTTGATATTGATAATAGTAGACCATAGTATACGCTTAGTGATCTACCGTAGATTCAGACTAGAAATTGAGATGTCATTTTCATAATAGCGTATGACGTACCCCGCTGTGTATTTATATAGAGTCTCTAATTATCGCATTAATAATGTAGAATAGTGATAATTCAATATTTCATCAGTCAAGGATTATTATTGGACAGTAAGAGAATTTGTATTTAATTTGAAAGTAAACGCATCATACAATTTAATTTTACCCGCTTACGACGGGTGTTTAAATCCAGTATGAAGCCTGAGTTGCATACACTTAAATCTTTATCTTTTTTTATATTCTTATGAATGTATAGGTAAAGTAATCCTATTGTTCCAATTTTCGTTTAAACTATACAAAATTTTAAAATGTGATTTTTATTGCATTAATTAATTAGTTCTATTATTTAAAAAAATCAGATTGTATTAAAAATTGCTTACATTTGAACCGTTGTGATCCAGTAAATGCAGCCAAATTATTTTAAAGAAGAAAAAAAGTCCTCCAAAATATTTAAAAGTTTCTTTTGAAAAATCGCATTATTTTCATCTTATTTCTTTTGATGCGTAACACGCACGGACTCTTCTTTTATGTACATCACAAAGTACAATCGTGACGTGAAAATTAAGAGAACACATTGTTGTTTCATGCTCATCATGAACTGTTAATTATGTAACACATGTACGTGTTCATGTGCAATCCTATGAATGACATTGAATCTTTTTTCATAACCTTTGACCTGTGCGGGTTAAATAATTCAACGATATCTTCCAGGAAAACCTTATCTTTTATCAAGCACAAGGGGACAATATTCTGCTTTTTGAAAGAAAAAATAAAATACATTGACATTTTTTTGTCATCCTTGATCAATTGCGACGGTTTAATAATTCAGATATCAAATATAGTACATTAAGAAGCGTTTTTAACGGGGATTACTGTAAATTAGTTTTAATTGAATATCGCTAAAAATTAATTTGGTATTGCAGGTATTTTAAGAGTTTACAAAATCTCTAAAATTACCTGCCGCATAATATTTTAAAGCTAAGATTTCGTCTCAATCGCTAAAGGTTCCAATTTTTTTCAATACCAAAATTTTCTTCAAACAAAACCTTTCTTTGACTTTATTGGAAAAAATGTGTGTGTGGAGGGGGGTGTTCTTGCATTGAAATTATTCAATAGTAAAAACTGATGTCGAAGGAAATAGGGCAACCCCCTCCTCCCTGCTTTCTCTCCCCGTCGCTATATGCCTGAACCCTGGTCTGTTATGGACTCATTGCTCTTTTAAGTCCCTGATACATGTGCTGTTTGAATCAGATTTTCTTCACAAAGAGAGTAATTATTCTAGAAATAGTAATTCGTGACTTGTGGATTATTTTATTTCATGAAATAAACTCCACTTAGCAGATTACATGTCTTAATAGTAGTGGTATTGCAGATGGAAGGAATACTAGTATGTCAAACAAGAGGTCCAATGGGTCAGATCGCTCACCTGAGTATCATTAGCCCTGCTGTTTTTCAACAGATTTCCCCACTTGTATAATACTTATTGTGAATCATTTTAACAATTTAAACTTCCTATCAAACAAGGATGCTTTGTACCAATTTTGGCAATTATTGGCTCAGTGGTTCTTTAGGAGAAGTTGAAAATGTGAACAGTATACAAACGCAAATTGACCATATGAATGACTTTCTTTCCCAAAATTAATGATTCTGAAATTGAAAATGTAAAAAAAAAATATGGTGACGGTGACAACAATAATGATGACAATGGAAAAATTTTGATCGGGTAAGCTAAGAAAAAAAAAGAGGAAAAGGCATATTAAATCTGCTGGTAATCCTAGTTTTGTGTTTGTTTTGGTTTACTTCTTTTGCAAACATTTATACACCTATCAATACAAGGGTACCTGTAAAGTGCGAAACGAAATAGAAACGAAACGAAACGAAACGAACTGAAACGAAACGAAATCTGCCGAAACGAAACGAAATCTTACCGAAATGAAACGAAATCAAGAAGAAACGAAACGAAATCAAAACGAAACCTGCCGAAACGAAACGAAACAAAACTTTCAGAATGTTTTTATGGTCTATTTTTACTTCATATGAAATTTATATAGTTCAAGCACCACAGACAATTGTTTCGCTTCAAGCTCATACATAGGCGTCGGAAGGAAATTGAAAGGGGGGGGGGCTTAACCAACAAACCCCAATTTTCAATGCCTATATAATATATATCTTTGCAAAAAGTAGGGGGTCCAACACCTAAAACTAGGACCGTATGTACGTAGAAAGGATACACAAGATTACTGTTGGAGTTACATATGGGGCGCCGTTTTGATATTTACTGGCAAAAAGTGATATCACCTATTCAAATAGGTGATATCACCTTTGTTACATGTATAATTGAAGGATAAAACCAGACACCTCGGAATGGAATACTAAATACTCTAAGTCTCTGGTATATCGTATGTTTTAAGACATTCGCAATACAATAGCATAGGCAAGCCCCCTTTTTTTTTTCCAAAGATACATGTAGACCTAGTATAGATATTAAACATCATTGCGTAGGTTTAGTCCCCCCCCCCACTTTCCACAGAAAGGTTGTAGTTAATAGGTTAAAATAATGAGGAAAGTGGTGTTGTTTGGGAAAATTTTGCTAATGAAGTTCAACTCCCGTCCCCCACACGAAATATGCTTTTCGTGTTTGGACGGACATTTCCTCTTTTTTTTGCTTGTCAGGTGTTTTTTTTTTTTAAGGTATAAATTTTTTTTTCTTATACCTAACCCTCCACTTTCAATTTGCTTTCGACGAAAATGAACAGTACGGTGACTTTACTTCGACCCGTACATAAACGAGCCTTTACATCATGTAACACGTCAATTTTGATAGATATAGTGTATCTAGATAAATAAGGACTGAAAATAAGAGTAAGGTATAAAAATTTGAAAATACTGCACATATTGAAACTATACATGCGTAGTAGGCTCGTGCATATTTGCAGCTGGCAAACATGTAAATACATTATTAGACGGAGAAGGGAGCATAATTTATCGGTAATTAAATTTTATATTTACAAGTGCTTGAACTTTATATATTTTATTTGAAGTAAAAAAAATGTCCATATGCAGTTACACATATACAATAATATACACGTACCTTGATTTGAAAAAAAAAATTGATAGTTTTGTTTCGTTTCGTTTCGGCAGGTTTCGTTTTGATTTCGTTTCGTTTCGTATTGATTTCGTTTCGTTTCGGTAGATTTCGTTTCGTTTCGGCAGATTTCGTTTCGTTTCAGTTCGTTTCGTTTCTATTTCGTTTCGCACTTTACAGGTACCCATCAATACAAGAGTTTGAAATTTTTTTTTTACATTATATACGAGTACATCAGCAGCTTCCTCCATTTATTTTCCAGACCAGTACAATACTGTAAACCAACTATTATTTGCATCATCTTTTATTCGCAATTCGTAAGATTAAAATCAATCCAAAACAATTAACTTTCACAACGAAAAAAGCATCCTCTACCAATATAAGGCAAAAGAAATGTTTCACAATGTTAAATATTCGCGAATTAAAGTAATTCGTGAAACTCGCAAATATTTCTCGCACACGAATAAAAATCTGGTTTACAGTAAGTGCTAAACACAATTCATGTAAAAAAAAAAAATAATAATAAAATTTAGACACTTTTATGACACTGTTAATCACAATAAAACAAATGCAATGAATATTAGTTTTATTTTTATTTAAACGAGACAAAGCAATACATGGAAAGCATTATGGTTATTATGGCTGCATGGAAGTCTTCAAAGATGAAATTTCAGAACAAAAATAGATGCATGTTTGCATTCAAAAATAAAAACTTTAAAACTAAAATGAAAAAAAATCATCAACGGCTATTCCATGTAAAAAGCACTGTAAGGGGCATACATATAGATTAAAAAAAAAAAGACTGGGCAAAATTACATGTATGCTACATGTACAGTGTATATGGTGGATATAAGTACTGATAAATTGAAATCTTCAATACATATACAACCCTCTTTTTTTCCTATTTTTCCTCACAGAAATTTCAACATGATTTTGAATTGTAAAAACAGGAAAGTGCAGCATAGTACATGTAATACATGTAACACCTATATTCTTTATGTCAATACATGATTTTTGTTGACAAGTCCATAAATCTACTGTAAAAGATTGCTAATTCCTCCTTATTCTTCCCTATAAAATAAACTTAAGCAGCATCTGACAATGCAGCAACACCTGGCAGTGTCTTACCTGTAAATAAAAAGAAAAGAAATAAACAATTATTCCTTCATTTCTCTCTCTCTAGAAAACTTTTTTTTTGGGGGGGGGGGGGGGGTAGGAGGTGTTATATAGTCTGATTAACTTAATCTGAAATACTCTAGCTTGATTTTAACCTAGTACATATATCATGTAAATGTATACTATGTTGTGATGTAAATAAATGGAAGTTCATTTGAGGAAGACACCGCTGCATTCACTTTACAGCTAAAAGATACATAGATTCTATAAATTTTCAGAAGCTATTTGTTTATAGGTCAAAGATTGGTTTATATTGATTAACGTGTCTAAGCTAAAGTAAAGTGCAAGGCACTGCAAATTAAAGTCTGTATGAACTAGTCCATTTCGTAGTTGTTTGTTCATAAAATTCATCAACCTTATATGGAGAATTATGTAAGAATATTGGAAAACATATCAATAAAAATCTAGTAAAAAGAGAGAGAGATTTTAATGAACAGAATCATTAAGCTGGTCTACAGTTCCGCTGATTATCACATATGTCTCATTATGTTACCTATGCTCAGATAATTACTGGGCTCTCGATAACAACTAATAAATTGATGCACTACTGAAATGGACTAAAAAAACAGTTTTTAAATATAAGTCCTCTTTTCGTGACAATTAGGCTACAAGTAATTTTTTTTTCATATTAGAACTGCACAGAAGTACATCCATGGTCAAACCATTGTTTCTGTACCTCAGAAGCCTCCAGGAGCTTCAACACATGAGATTTTTAGGGACAGTTGTGAAGATTAATGAGCAATTTAGTTTATCAAGAATTTGAAATCTTAAACAGACAAACCAGGTGCACCCCCCCAAAAAAAAATCTTCCTGCTGTTGTATAATATGGATTTGTGCAAAAATCAAACTCCTGGTAACTGTAAATTCTAGTCACCATGCAGTAACCTATTTACTTAAAAAATCGGATCTATTCAGCAACTGCTAAAGCAATCCACATCCCTTACCAACCACTGAACAGTTTACAGATGTATATAGATAAACGTGTAAAAAGGTTGTAATTTAAGGGTATGATTAATCTGACAATTTACCATGTAACTGACACACAGTAGTTATACTTTAAATTGTTAAATAAAATAAATAACCCTATTTTTCTTATTCAAAGAAATTTCTTTCAAAAAAGCAATTTAAAAATATTATTTTTGGAACCTTTATGTAGTATTTCATATATTTCTATACTGAAATAAACCAAATTTGGCAAAAATGTACATTTTGATTTTTCACCAAAAACAGACCAACCAAAGTCCCATATAAACTAATGCAACTACAAGTGAAATTGTCTGACACGTATTTTGTGGGAATTGGTAGATTTACTTGCAGGATACAGTACAGTACATGTATAACACTGAATATGCAAAGATGCAAAATATCTTTTAAGTTTGGCATGAATATGTTTAGGGCAACCTGTAAAGAGGCCTACATATGTATTAATGGACATGTAGAACTTCAACTTGTGTCACCTGACATTGAGATCATGGAAGGAAGAGCTATATATATATATTTTCAGAATAACACCCACACAAACAACTGTTATTTTGCAAAAAAAAAAAAAAAAAAAAAAAATTCGGCAGACTTACCCTCTAACAATTCTAAGCTTGCTCCTCCACCAGTAGAAACATGGCTGACTTTGTCCTCTGTTCCAAACTTAGCTGCACAGGTTGCGGTATCACCACCACCTGGAAAAGAATCGAACAGAAGTCTACAGGGTAGGTCAAGCGATTTGCTTCACTTCTTTAGAAAATGAATGATTTTTTTAAAGAATTTTTAGACCACATGTACATTTTCATGTCCCTTAATTATTATCGAGCATTTATCTGAAAAAGCATCAACATCTCTCACTTTTGTATCCAAAGACCTTTTCATTTGGGTATATATGCATTACTGGTTTTATGTCTCATAAATACATTCAAGTATTGTAATGCATTCTTAACACTGCAGTTCTTAATTAAATGGGTGTAAGAGATGCTTAAATAGAACAAGAAAATTTAAACTGCTTCTCCTTATTACCAATAATTGTAGTTGCTCCCCTTTGTGTTGCCTCGACAACAGCGTCCATTACTGCCACTGTTCCTTTCTTAAAGTTTTCAAACTCAAACACACCTGGAGGCCTGTAAACAGTATCATACAAATTTTATCTTCAGTTTGAACACTGATTTAGCAAGTTTTGTAGCATGTTGATTTAATAGGATTTTAAGTTCTTCTTATTACTAAAATGTCTCCAAATTCATTTTCATTGTTAATCAGTATATATAAACATAGGTAATCAGAGATTACAGAGCTCACCTCAACGAATGTTGTCTTTAAGTAAGGCAAAGTCACACAATTCACCAACAAAAAGTGTACATTCCAAAAATGAAAATATTTAAGCAATTTTGATCTGATACTTTGAAATAGACCTACATAAAAAATTTAAACTAGTTCTTCTTCATGAAAATCTAATCAAAATCCAGCATCTGAAGCAAATTTGAGAGTTTTCATCTCTTGATGCAACATTTGTGCAAGTTTGGTTTATACAATGTTATATAAGCCTTTATAGTTATAGTTTTTTGGAAATAGACCTGCAACCATAACTTTTACCTGGTCTATTATCTGAAAAATGTATGTCGAATTCAGCATCCAAAGCATCCATTAGTGTGTATCCTAAGATGTATCATCCATGCAAGTTTGCTCATTATAGGGCTCATAGTTAATTGGAAATGAAACATGCATCAAAAACTAACATTTTCACTCATCCACAAAAAGGAGGTCAGATTCAGCATCCGAAGCAAGCCTGGTAGTATGCATCCTTAGATGTATCATCCATGCAAGATTGGTCATTAAAGAACTCATAGTTACTTGAAAATGAAACCTGCACCAAAATCTTTTACCTGTTCACTCAACCAGAAAATGTAGGTCAGATTCAGCATCCGAAGCAAGCCCGGTAGTGTGCATTCTTAGATGTATCATCCATGCAAGTTTGGTCAACATAGGGCTTAAACTTACTTGCAAATGAAACCTGCACAAAAAAATTTAACCTGTTCACTCAACCGGAAAATGTAGGTCAGATTCAGCATCCGAAGCAAGCCCGGTAGTATGCATCCTTAGATGTATCATCCATGCAAGTTTGGTCAACATAGGGCTTATAGTTACTTTTTAAAACCTGCACCAAAAACTTTAATCTGTTCACTCAACCAGAAAATGTAGGTCAGATTCAGCATCCGAAGCAAACCTGGTAGTATGTATCCTTAGATGTATCATCCTTGCAAGTTTGGTCAACATAGGGCTTATAGTTACTTGGAAATGAAACCTGCACCAAAATCTTTTACCTGTTCACTCAACCGGAAAATGTAGGTCAGATTCAGCATCCGAAGCAAGCCTGGTAGTATCAATCCTTAGATGTATCATCCATGCAAGTTTGGTCAACATGGGACTTATAGTTACTTGGAAATGAAACCTGCACCAAAATCTTTGCCTGTTCACTCAACCGGAAAATGTAGGTCAGATTCAGCATCCGAAGCAAGCCTGGTAGTATGCATCCTTAGATGTATCATCCATGCAAGTTTGGTCAACATAAGACTTTTAGTTAATTGGAAATGAAACCTGCACCAAAAACTTTAACCTGTTCACTCAACCGGAAAATGTAGGTCAGATTCAGCATCCGAAGCAAGCCCGGTAGTATGCATCCTTAGATGTATCATCCATGCAAGTTTGGTCAACATAGGGCTTATAGTTACTTGGAAATGAAACCTACACCAAAAACTGCACCAAAAATGTTAACCTGCTCCAAAAAACATTAATCTGGTCATTTCTTTGTTTAAACCGCAGCATCTGAATCTTGGACTGGTACAATGAAAGACACTAGAAGCATCTTCCATGCATGTCTAATCAATATAGGACATAGAAGTACTTAAAAAGAAAACTGCTCCAAAAAACTTAACCTTAACCTGGGACGCCGACGCCGACACCGACGCCGACGCCGAGGGTATCACATAAGCTCCCCCCAACTTCGTTGAGGTGAGCTAAAAATTACTTGACTATAGAGTACTTTGATAAGGAATTTAAAAGTGTTCTAAACAACTCTTACCCATTCCATACAATGGTTTTGGCTCTGCCTACGACTTCCTTAAATTTAGCTATGGACTGGGGACCTACGTCCAATCCCTGTAGAGGAACAAAGACGATGCTTACATAAAATCTCGCAAATCCTCAAAAGAATGTTCAACATCGTTTCTCAATTTCAGTATTTTTTTGTAAAGATGCTAACATTATTGTGTATTTGTAATGATTGCTATTATTCTCACCATACTACCATCTGGAATTCCTGATTCTACAGTGGCGGATCCAACAGTGGCATCCTCAGCAAATTTATCCCCTGTCACGAAGTCTGAGGGGAGTGTGATTGTGACATTGTTCTTTGCTGCTTTCTCCATCAAGTTCTTAATGATCTTTGATCCCTCCTCATCATAAAGAGAATTACCAATCTAGCAGGGAAAAAAGTGATGTTTTAAGATCTAGGTGACATCATCAACATAAATGAATTATAGAATTACATTTCAGGAGTTATTTTCTCTTTGAAAAATGTGCCAAATAATAAAGATCCTGATCTAATTTCCATTTCTATATTATTTCTTTCCAAAAAAAAATTTAAAATGATTTTTTTAAATGTCACAATTATTTGTCACTATGCTGAATATTTTTTTTTAGTTTTAAACAAACAAGAACTTGCAGATAACCTTAGACACTAACATCATTCAAATACAAAATTGACTGGCAGATTCTCAGCTATTGACTTTTTAAAAAGCATTGGACAAAATTATCTCACCTTCATATTGTTGAGAACCTTCAAGAAAGTAAAGGCCATGCCGCCTCCTATTATCATTTCATTAACTTTATCCAACATGTTTTCTATCAGCTGAATCTTGTCTGCAACCTTTGCCCTGTAAAACAAAACATTCAAACTAACAAATGTAAATATGTAGTCAAGTCAATTGACAGTGCTACTAAGATAAATGTTCGAGATATTTTTAAGTGGAGAAATTGAATGCAAAATGAGTACTAACCCTCCTAAAATGGCTAAGAATGGCCTGTCTGGATTTTCCAGTGCCTTTGCAAAATATGTTAATTCTTTCTTTAGCAAAAATCCTGATGCTCTCTGTGCAAGCTGGCACCCAACCATTGAACTATCAAGAAATGTGACAAATATGTGTACTTACATGTAAATTCATTATAAATACTTAAGATACCACTGCTTCTATAGGTTCTATTTAGACAAGAGATCAAATAGCCTTGACAGTAATCAGAATATACAAGATACATCATCATGTTTTTAATACACAATAATCACACCATTTTGACTTGCACTCATCTAAACCCAGATCCTGAATATAACAAGAACATCATAACTTTGCTAGAAGGCACTCTGCTCATTTCAAAAGCACACAGTATGTCTGCCAGATACCAAGATTTTCTAAGATGTTCTACATAAAAAGGTAATGACAATTCTGCTGACTAGAAAGAATTCATTTCTCTCTCAAAATATAACACATTATTTTATGATACATTTTGCAGTTTTTGTGATTTTTCCCCCCAATTTTAACACAATTCAGACCTATGAGAATTTTCCTATTTATTTTTCTAAAATAAAGGTACTTTACCTATGAGCTCTGTGTGCCGTTCCAAATGCATCATTCACATACACATCTCCTAGTTTGGACAGAGACTGGCGGAATGCCTCCACAGCTTCCTTTGAGGCTTTAACCTAAAACAATATTGAAAGGTTCCTCTCTATAGAAGTCTTAATGATTGTGAGGAGGAAAATATCGTATTTTAAATCAATTCAAGAAGCACCACTGTAAGGCCAATTTAGCATTATTTTTAATACGTAGTACATACTAACTATTGTTAAGGAAGTCTTTTTTTCAAAAAAAAAAAAATACAGTAACACACACATATACCCATGCACTAGGTTTAGCTTTAGTCAGACATGGGATAATTCAAGGACTACTCCTTTTTTATGAATTGATATCAACTGCTTTGAATTTTACATCACTAGAATGATCAGAATAAATAAGAAAGGTGCACCTTCTGGGCATAAATTTCAGAAATTGTATCAATGGGAAGAAAAGAAAAGGTTAAAATTTATACTAGATGCAAGAGGACATTCAGACTACCTTCTCCCCCGCCTCGTTGACCCCTTTTCCTTCCTCCTCCACATGGAAGCGGAGATTTTCTAAGAGAATCACGGAACCAGTTGGGGGGTCAGCACACTTTGCCTCCACCTCTGGTCCTACACAGTCCGATAGAAACTCCACCGACCTGAGCAAACATGAAGGTAAGTGTGAAATCAATGCACAAAAAAAATGGCAAAAAGATTTGGCATTCAAATTTCAAAATACTTTTTTTCATATTAATCAATTTACTTGTAAAACAGTTTTCATATTAATCAATTTACTTGTAAAAAAAAAAAAAAAGAAGTGGAATATCTTTAGAATATCATTAAAGACATAACTCTAATTTATATCTTTATGCTCAAGGCATATAGTCTTTCATATGTCAGGGGTGTGCAATTACAAAAATTAGTTTCTAGCCTGTTGGGTTAGAGGCAGTAACAAAGCTACTAGTTCAAGGTTGCCATTCACTAGCCCATTAACTACCAAAAAACAATACATGCATATAAGTATAATATAAAGGTTAAAAAAACATTAAAGTTGAAATAAATGAAAAAATAATGGTTTCTGCTTTGTTATTGTCAGGTACTTCTTTCTATTTTATCGACTACAATTGTCACTGAGACGACTGGTGATAGCAACACACAATACATATAGGATAAAAGGATCGAATTGAAGATTATGATTTTACAACAAAGTTAATTCATACATGTATCAATTCAGTTGACATAAATATATATGTATACTTTCCTTTTATATTTACTAACCCAACGGGCTAATGCAATATAATTTAAAATAGCCTGACGTCTAAAAATGGTAGCCCCCGCGTTGGGTGATCAAAATCTTAAATGCACTTTCATCATGACACTGTCTTTTCAAAGCAAAAATGGGCTTAGGATTTACAGTAAAACATTTAATGGGTTTTATTTCTTACTTTCCTAGCAGTTTCTCCAGCTCTGCTTTAACAGGCTGTAGTGAGTATTTTTCTGAGCGTTTTCCATCAGGACGACCTAGATGACTCATCAAAACCACTGATTTAGCACCCTTTTCCAGAGCATACTTGATTGTGTCTAAAGCTGCTACAATCCTACAAAAAAAATTCTTTGTATAAATAATAGTCCTAAAATGGCTGTCTTAATATTTAATCTGAAATCAAAACTGCATGCAATTAAAAATTAAAAGAGAATGAAAATAACAATTGATCTTTTCCTACAGTTTTTGCTCTTCTTGAAATTCAGCATTTAAACGAACATGTAATATAAAAATAAATATTTAACTTACCTCTGGGTATTGGTTATTTTGCCTTCTTTCAGAGGAACATTGAAGTCAACCCTAAAATTGTAATCATGGTAAAATTAAAAATGTAGAAGTTTTTAAAGATCTCCATATGGCATAATTATAGAAGATTTTTAGAAAGTTAATGCTTTGATGTACACAGTAGCAATAATTCAACAGTGAATATTGTTTAACATCGCAAGGAGGCACTAATAACCCTTCCTCCTTCTGACCTCCCTCCACAATACTGTCAGCAGGACCTGTTTCTGCACCCTCTATAAGAAGGCACACAGTGCACAGTGTACATCACCCACTTTCAGTTTTTATGACTTCTATGTTACTAATTAGTGTGATCTTTTTTGATAAATGTTAGAAAATACAGCTACTGATATTTATAGCCATATGCAAGTGTTTAGCACAACATTCATCATGTGTTACATAGATCCTTCAAGAGCTAATGATATGTCATTCTACATGTATGCACCCCACTTCTCATGCTTCTTAAACCAAATAAAGCAAATAAGAGAATCTCATCATTCTCTTCAACAAACTGCATGAATTTAGTTACAGTGTAATGTGTCTGAATGGGAAATATGCATAATAACTTTTCAAATCAATATCAGATACCTCCCTGGCTGCTAAACTGTAGCTCTCTCATTGAGAAAATTTGTACAAATAAACCAGTGAACTAAAGATCCAAGCATTGTTAAAACCTTTGATTTAAGGCAAACATTTTTGATTGTTTACGTTGGGCAATATGCATTCCTAAGCCCAAACTATGAGATCTCTTAATTAAGCATTGAGCAACCAAAAATTGTCACATTTATAAATCAATGGTTTGTACAACCTTGGATTTTTAGCTCTATGGTTTATCTGTCCAAAATTTTTCAATGAGAAGGCTTCCTCAGTCTATGCTTGAAAAGTACTAAATATGTGATACATTCACATTAATTTCCACTGAGAACTATGTAATTTATTGTAAACAAGGAGGAGGAAGATGAAAATTTGATATTAATCGTGTAACTATTTTTAGTATTTTACATTTCGTTCCTTATCATCAAATGTAAACTAGCAAAAAACAAGGGATCAAATATTTTCTGATAAATAAAAACATTAAAAATGAATAATTAACGTCAAATTATCATGTACATGCAAACTGAACGTGCGTGGCCTTGAGAAAGGTAAAGGGAAGGTCAGGATGCCGGCTCCTGATCTGCAAATGTTTAAAGCAAGAATGATTGAATGAATGCTTTTAATCTTACCTCATAAGTACTCTCTTTCCTTTAAGATCAATTTGATCGATTGCCAACTTGTTCAGAGCCATTTTGCACCAATTTTACGGGAGTTTTGAAGAAGCAGCCGCTAAAATTATTTTTTCTCAACCACTTTTTCTCCTTCGTGAACTAAAGAGTTCCTTGTGTGTAAAATAAAAATTGGTCATGGTGACCAGAATGATTCCGATTTGTTAACCATGCTAATCCTTTCGGCGATAAACAATATATAATACATGCATTTGCTAAAAAAATAGAAAACTGTGTGAACTCATACTGGCGGTGTGTGTGAACCGGGGGGGGGGGGGGTGGTGGTCTCAGCCCCCCCCCCCCCCCTTTTTTCCAAATATATACTTAATATAGACACATTGAACATTGCTTGGTAGGTTTAACCCCCCCCCCCACAGACACGTCGCAGTACAGGTTAAAAAAGGGGAATGTGGTGCTGTTTGAAAAAAATTTGGTACTGAAGTTGAACCTACCCCCCCCCACGAAACAGGATTTTTTTTTCTTTTTCACTCAGCCCCCCCCCCCCCCCAACTTTCAATTTGCTTCCGACGCCAATGGAGTCAGCTGATTCGATTCGCTTTTAGTTTTATATTATTCGGCTTCTAGAAGCTAGCTGCAGAACTTTGGCTCTCCGAAAAAAAGATTGATAGATAGGAGACAGGCCTATCAAATATATATATATATATATATATATATATATTTATTTTTTTTTTCAGAGAGCTACAGTTCTGCAGCTACAAGAAGCAAGCCCGAATAAAACATTCTCCAGAGGTCTTCATACTAATGACTTTCTGCAAATTCCAGGGCGGGGGTCCGGACCTCCCCTACTTGATTTAATTTATATATTTAATAACCCCCCCCCCCCCCCCCCCCCGTCTAGATCTGTGCATGAGTCCTTTGGCGTTGTGAATAGATGGAAAATATATGTGATTATTGGGGTACGGATTATACAATTCTTTTTTTTCTTCAGAAATCAATACTATTTCATAATAAATATTAAAAATAAACAAATAAAAGACTTAAAAATGCATGCATAGGGTTTTGATATTCCAACTTCATTCTATGTTTCATCAAAGACTTCCTTACAGGAGCATACCTGTAATTATAAAACCCGCAATTTAAAATAAATTCCTTTGAAAAAACTTCTGATGAGCAAATGAAATTAAGTGTGTGTGTTGGGAGATTTTTTTTATGAAACTAAACCAAGGTCCTATTTGCTTAACAGGCACATATACACTTAATAATTAATGAATTTAAAAAATTATGTATACTCAATATACTATATCCAGCAAAATCACTGCACAACTTAATCTGTATTATATATCACTGTATCAAGGAAGTTTAAACGGAAGTTTATCATAATTAACAAGTGTACACGTGTCTATTTTGCTATGTGACACAGTTTGTGTTTTTATCACAATAATAATGGAGATTTTAGGATTTGACAACCCTGTGTTTGCCCAGTTTGCTTTCTATTCTATCGTTTTGATCCTGAAGACACTGGGGCTTGCATTGCTGATCATCCGAAGTCGAATAAAACGAAAGGTATCCATCTAGGAGGAGTATTTAACCACACTACTCTCCTGACTTAGGGCATGCTTGCATAAATCGAAATGTACAATATATTCTTAGTGATTTCAAAATATCTAGATACTGAGTAAGTGAAAAATACATAAGTTTTCTACGTATACAGATTGTGTTGTTCCTCTTATTTAGAAATCTTGTTTAAAATAAAGTTTTTTTTCATATATTGGGTAGTAGATAAAATTGCATTTTCATCTCTATTTTAGGTGTTTGCATTTCCAGAAGACTGTTCACAAATTATTGTAGGAAAGCATCACCTTAAACCAACATCAGACGATGCTTATATAAAGAGATTACGAAGGTGTTTAATTATTCTATGTAGACATTTTTGAAATAAAAAAATCAATAAGATCGAGGCTTAACACGGAGACAAACTGTGTGCACACAAACACTAAAAGTTCTTATTTCATACTTATAGTTTTCTATAGTAAATTATCTGCCCTTAGATATGTAAGTTGGATTTGCTATTATCATTATGTAGATATATATTAACGTACATTTTTATTGTACCATAATTTTTTGAAGCCCCAAAAACTACTTTTTGCGTTATGAACCCCGTTGATCGTTTTCAAGCTATTTTTGAGTAATAGAAATCTCAAAGTGAACAACTATAACTTAAAAGCTGCTAACAGTTAAATCTTTCTTTTGTGCTTGTTGAATTCATATCATTTTTCAACTGAAGTTTTTAAAATGATTAATTATAATTCATATTTTATTTTAGATGTCATTTAAATAATCTGGAAAACATCTTTCCATTTGTGACAGTTGGCATACTTTACGTTCTGACAGAACCGGAAGCTACAACTGCTGCGCTCTACTTCCGGATTTTTCTCTTGTCACGTGTTGTGTACGACATAGCATTTTTACGGGCTCTTCCACAGCCATCAAGGACTTTTTCGTATCTCACCGGTGTTATTGTCATATGTATGATGGCTTGGTCAGTCCTACAGAAAGGAACCCTATGAAAACAATTTTATATAAGTGGCAACTGTTTGATACAAAAAATATACTGAAGTTTTCCTTTTTATAATTTATCAAAGGTTTTAATAACAAATTGTGTTAGAACATATGATAGAACGTTAAAAGAACTAATCAACACACAAATGAAGAATATTTATTTTTATGCATACATATTTGTTTCGTTTACAAACAAAGGTAGAGGTTGTATAATTTGTATATGTATATTGGGCAAATGCCTCATATTTATATATAAAGGTACTTTTTTCTCTATTAGGTTGGACAAAAGTACTGCCTGGTATTTACTTATATCATCACGCAAAATGCATTCTTAAGGTATTCAGATCCATAAGAATGATTCCGCCAAAGATGGTGGACATTATTGCTATGGCAACGTATCCAATACCACGCGAGCTCATGCGCGTGTCATCTACAGAAATTTTCTGTCTGATGGCGATAGACGTATTTTTGGGAGGGATGCGTATGGTGTCTACGATGTTTTCAATAATTTGAGTCAGGTTTAGTTTAGTTGTAGGCTTGTTGCATTTACAAACACATTCTCCAAAGTCTGGAAATGAACAAAAACAAAATGTAAATACTCTTAATGATTAGTGATGATTGAAGTATGTATATTGTTTGAATAGCAAAAATTATCATTTGGAATTGATCATGAATTCCAATGTAAAGTGAGTTAGTGAATCTTAAAATATATCAAATTGCATTGGTTCTTTTAAAACAAAAATGGTCGAATCCCCCTGCTCCACTCATATCCTTGGCATTTCTGCATTATCTTGCCAGGATGCCATTGACCTTTAAGATATGACCTTGGAATAACAATGTGGGCCACCAGCAATGATCGATCATACATTTAGCTGCAGACCGGACTAGCTAGCTGCCAATATATTTTTTTATGATCTAACAATCATATTACTCAAATACATATGAATATTTAAATCATGGAATCCTTGTCTTTTAACCCAGTCACCTTAAAAATATTTACCACTGCCTAGTGACCATGTTTTATATGTAACTCCCTTTGCAAAAGAGTGTTCTGATAAAAATGGAAATCACCATGTGGGTTTGAATTTTATTAAAAAATTTTGATCATTTGATTCTCCCCGTGTAATGTAATACATGTTACAGGACTAGTACGTTGCAAGTTGTTGGAGTGATCAATGCTAAGTTTCTGTTCTTCAGATTCTAATGTGAAAAGGTGGTAAAATGCGATTGATGTTTCTATAAAGTACGTGAAGTAACTTCAATAAATACAGATTATTGCCTCCCATGGAACTTTTTCCAAAGAAATAAAATGTGGTGTTTTCTCTGATATGTTTGAAGATATCAAAATCCGTAAAGCAAGAACAAGAAAAAATCTTGAAATCAAATACAATTGTATACGTGATAAATGCTTTGTTCCCGGACTTTTCGATTTAATGATGAAATAATACTGTCAAAATACATTTCAGTGCCAACAAAATAGTGTAAATCAATTCTAGAGCTGTTGTGCCGACCATTTGTGAGAAAATTGAATGGTGGTGAATCTAGTCTAGTACGCGTAGAGTTGAGAAGTTTCGAGGTATGTCGATGTTTTATTGGGACCCTCTAAATTCCAAACCCTCTTAAATATTTTTATCAAAACATGTATCCTAACGTAAAATCGAAAAGGATCCACCATCATCATCTATATATCCAACATATATACTCGCACATGTATATCACAGGGGCCGGTAACATACTGTTTTTGATTTTACGTAATCACTATATATAGGCTATACAAAAAAGGAATATTTTTGTATACATATAGTGATTACGTAAAATCAAATACAGTATGTTACAGGCCCCTGTGATGTATATGTATACATGTATACCTAAATAAGAGTTGATTATATTTTTCGAGATTCTACGTACGCATCGGGTGTCATATGCATCATGAATGCGCAGATGCCTGTGATGGGTGTATAAACTTGGTTCCAATAAAGAACTGGGTACGGTATGTATACACAACGTACCCAGTTCTTTTCCAAGACCCCATCCCGGTTCCCTGGGCCTCCCTTTCCGCTTGCACATTTTTATTTGGGGGAAGGGGGGTCATCATGCCTTCAAAGTTTGAAAGAACTGATTTCAGATTTTCTTTATACCTGGTAGCTTCTCATCGTAAGAATCATTGCAAAAGCGTCTACTGACAGCACACTGACTAACGGGGCCTAAGGGACACAACCGACGGAAGTATGTGTTGGTTGTTTCCAGCTTAGCTAAAAAAGGAAATTCCAATGATAGGAAGTGTAAACTTTGAGATTTTAATAATAAGTAACTTTAAAGAAAGTAAACGTCCTTAAACTCTGATTACTGATATATTTTCCATATATTAACACCTTTTTAGATACCTGATTACTGTATTTCGAAAATTGACATTAAACTACTTGTAAGATTATTCTCAAGAATATATATAAGATTTTACAAATTTGAAAAAAATATGGGTATTCATAGATACCTTGGATGTCGCATCTTTTGATGAACATCTGGTGATTGGAATCGGATGGACGGTGGTACTTATCCAGACGATACAAATTGTCACTCGTCATTAGTCCGCAACTATTGATGACGTCATTGTAATTGAAGCCAGAGCAGCGATGACCAGTTTCTGAGACGAAATTATTACAGGCGATCTTACAGATGGAAACGCTGGCATTTTCTATGTGTAGTGATGCCATGATGTTTCCAAAGGCGTTTCGTTTGACGTCAAATAGACAGGTACCTTTAAAAAAAATGTGTGCAGTTTTATAAAAAGGTTACTATAATTACTGTAAAACAACTTATATTCGCGAGTAAGAAAGACTCTTTTAGCGAAGTTCGCGAGAGCATCGTCATCGCGAATATTTCTCGCCGCAAACCAGTCCTTAAAATCTCTGTGTCTATTAACATGATTAACAACAGATAAAAAAAGGCTTGATCGCGAAAGTGTTTTTTTTTAAAAATTTAATATTTTTAAACGGTCTTTTTTTTTTTAGTGTTTTTTTTAATTTTCATTTTTTTGAACGCTTGACCACAAGGGCTTGTCATTGGCGAGGTTAATTCTTTTTTAGCTCACCTGAGCCAAAATCAATTTTGGAGTCAAAATAGGAGAGTTTTACTAAGTTTGCTTTTCTATTTAAAAGACTCATTTCTTCCATCTAAAAATCTTTAAAATTACTTACCATGGGATTCCTCACACATAAACATTTTCTCACTCTGAAAACAATCTGCTGTCTCAAACTTCACTCGTAATTTTTTCACACTGCCGTACGTACAATATCTGTAGTCTGTTGTGGCAGGAGGGGTCTTTCCCCAAAATGCAAATGATGGCTCTTTGCAAGAACCTTCCCATTCAAAGCGAGATCTCGTTTTCTTAAATGGTGCATGGAGTCCAATCCAGAATTGTGGCTCCCTGGGTATATTGGAAATCATTAAGTGGTAGGTATATAAAAGGTACGATATCGTATACTCACTACTCACCGATTAAATAAAATATTTTATAGGCAAAAATAACTAATTCAAACAGATCATTTCTTACAATCCTGAAGGAAATCATTTCAGTGGCATGGTGTGTGTTTGTGATTTGAGAAAATTGACCCCCCCCCCCTCCCCTCTAAAAAAAAAAGTCGTACATATTATTTTTAGGGACACAAACATAATTTATCAAACTTAGTTTGCTTTCTTGTGTAGCTTTGTTTTAAAATTGACGGTTTCATTAATTTAAAATTTTTAATCAATATAAATTTCATTACATATTTTTCTCACTTCTCACTTGCATGCATGACCAAAAGAACCGGGGTGACGGAGGGGGTCCCAATATTTAAGGATTTTGGTAGTTGATAGTGCCCCCTAATTAAAATATTTGAACCCCCGCCCCTATTGAAATTGCTACCAACGGGCTGGCATGGTTTGAACGATCTTTTGATCATGTTTGCACTACGATTGCATAGAAGTCTTATAATATGAAGAAATCCTTTTTATGTGAAATTAAAATAAATTACTTTTACCTGATTGAATTCCATGGTTCTTTGGTCAAAAAGTATTTTAAAGCATCCAGTCTTTTCTGAGAAGTAATGGTCAACAATGTCTGATTGATGGCGCGACAGAATCGCTGTGCTTCGTTCCAAGTTATGGGTGTTGTATATAGAGTCACCCTAGCCGTTTGAGTGCTGCCTAGGCAAACATGTGTACCTACAACAAAGACTTCGGCATTTTCTAATTACTGAAGACAAATTGATGTAAACGAAAACGATACTAGTTTATTCATTGTTCATTCTGAATATATTGAGAGAGAGAGAGAGAGAGAGAGAGCTAGTTTATGGCTCCTTAGTTTAAACAGTATCACTCACTTATTATTTTTTATTTAGATATATATGTATTACTAGTAAACAAATTTACCCACAATTAACGAAGAAACATATGCACCTTCTACTTACATATTTTACTTAGCAATCCAATGATGAATATATAGTCCATAATTAAATTTTTTCTTCTATTTTGCAACTTGTTCATCGATCTTGAGAAAAAATATCCACAAAGTTAAGACGGTCAGTTAGGCTGGTGTGACTTTTACAAAATTGAGGAAGAGAGAGACAGAGAGAGAAGAGATCCACATCTACCTCAGACAGTACTTAGCGGATGCGCGATTTAAAATGAAGACACCCGTTGATATAGTCCATCGATGATCATGATGATCGATAATCGATTTTTTTAATTTGCTGTGCTCTTTTTGATAGATGTCATACACAGGGATCATTAGCCTTTTTTATTCATGCTTACTCAGCTACAATTTTATTTAGGGTACAATTGATAAGATAAAATATATTTCTTTATGAAAGGCGTCATACACAGGGATCTTTTTAAATGCTAAGTACATGTACAATTTTATTTTGGATAAAATTGATATAGTGAAATATTTCATTTTTTTTTTCTTTTCTTTCTTTTTTATGCAAGCTAGAAAATGAATTCATGTACTTAACTAATGTCATATATATGCAAGTAAAGAAAAACAAGAAGAGTTTGGCATTTTTTCATTCAGTGTACACTTTACAGTTTGCAAGTTAAAGTAATGAAATATTTTTTCTTGCCAGGGTGTTAAAAAGATTTAAAAATTAAACAAGGAGTATTTCATAATCTTAATTTCTAGCATAAATGTAACTTTAAAAAAAATTATGTCATATTTTTTCTTAAATATTAATCAGTGATATGTTTTCCTGATAAAGTTCACACAAAATATTATATATTCCGATTTTTAAATTTGCCGCCATTGAATTTGATTGTGCCGGAATTCACCGAAAGAATTGCATTGTGGGTAAATATCTTGGAAGCGTGCACGATCAAGGAAAAAATCGAAAGAAGGCGTCACATTGAAATTATGATGGTCATTTAGGGAGTAAAATAGTAGAACAATTATTATTTAAGCGGATTCGTTGTTTAAGGTAAGTTGTCAATGTCGATAAAGCATTTTAAATTCAATTTAAAGCAGGAAAATATAATTACGGGCGATAACTTCAAAGCTGATATGATGATGGCGATTGTGTGGTTAACTGCCCTTGTAGTCGGTGGGCAAGGGCGACAATTGATTGCGTCGATAGCGCTGTTCAGTACTTGTAGAGCTACTGTAGTGCATCAATCGTGTTGTTTTAGTGATAAATATCAATGTGTTTCTTCGGTTCTTGGGTATATTTCAATATTTTAGGAGCACATTCTTTTGTTTCCGCTTGCCAATTCAATATGGCGGAAAATTTATGCTCAAACGATAGGCCTAGAGACCCAGCCGGTTGAACGATTTTCTCTGGCGAAGCCATTGCACGATCAAATCCGAAGCAATTATCATATATCCAACATGCCATAGTAACACGAGATTTTGAATATGGTACAGCTGAACAAATTGTAGCTTCAAATCCTCTGTTAATTAAAGCTTTTCTTCTAGGCTAATGTAGACAAAATTGTTTTGAAAATGCTGCATAATGTAGGTCATGGGTCATAGTTCATAGACACCATGTGACAACTGCATATTTATGCATACTTGCAATAGGCCTACACATTTTAAAGATAAAGTTGAAAAAAATTTACACTCAATATAAATGAATTGACTTCAAAAAGACATATAATTTGTATCTATTTTTTAGAATGGAAAATTTAGGCGAAGAAAGTATTGATGTCAACATTCCATCAGGGAAATCTCAAGAGGTATAAATTATCTTCATCATCATGATTTTTTTTGAGTCATTTTTGTTATTATGTTTATGATTAAAAAAACCTGCTATAAAGTCACTTTAAAATGATGATTATTTCTGTAATCTATAGACGTCTTTAAAATTAGAAATTTCGATTCCTTTTTTTTTTTTGATCAACAATTCCCATACATAAAAGATACAGAATATATAGATTTTAAAGTTGAATAACAATTATTTTAACGTTTAAAATATAGATAAAAAAAAATTTAGAAAATTGAGATTAAGAAAAAGGATATAGAGAATTTATAGATTCTGCAAGATAGGGTATTAATACCAAGGTTACCGCATGCAATAAATATAAACAAAATAAATTTTAAAAGAGAAAATATAATATTTATAATTATTTAACTAAAAATTTGTTATCACTTAGATCAACAATGCAGCAGGTGATGTCTTGGAAGAAATTCCAGTTACCTCGACCAATGGCTTCCCTGACATAAACAGTCAAGTACCAGCAGTACAAGACACAAATGAAACGGGGGATCTAGGTACACTATGAATAGGTTCTTAGGGATGAATCCAAAGGTTCATCTGGCTTGATTCTTAAATTCTGAATCTTTGTAACAACTAGTTTAAGATGCATATAAGTTATATTCTGCATCAATGATATCAAAGATTTAAAAAGGTTACATATAGTATATAGCTTGAATCAGTATTGAAAATTTTACAGAAATATTGTTTTCAACGACCATATTGTTGGAAAAGGTGCAGAATTGTTTTAATTACCTGCTCTTGATACAATAATTATATGCTAGGTAGATTGTCAATTTTAAAGCTTTTATTTTGAATGTTTAGGTGCTGTCACCATGATCTCAGAGACACAAGTGACTTCACTTCAGGATACCCCAGTCATGACACAAGATCTGGAACAATTCATGCAGCAAACACAAGAGTCCATGTTGATGTCTACCATAGAGCAGAATGTAGTTGAAGAAAAAACAGAAGAAAGCCCAAGTGTGCAAGAGCCAGACTCTGCTGTTGAACCGGAAAATGCACCAGGTTTGGTTTAGTTTTAATATTAGGTTATATTCAAGCCAGTTTGGAAACTAAATAAAGTATATATATAAGAAAATGCACCAGGTTTGGTTAAGTCTTGATATTAGGTTATATTCAAGCCAGTTTGGAGACTATATAAAGTATATGTATAAATTTATTTTATTTATGTAATTTCTGTATGGGAGACTAAATAAAGTATATGTATAAATTTATTTTATTTATGTAATTTCTGTATGTTACTATGATGTTAATGTTTTGATGCTTTTAAAAATGTCAGCTGGTTAATTTAATATCAGAAGTGAAAAAAGACAGAATAGCAATTTTTTTCTTCAATTTGTTTTGCTTGCTTTAAAATGGTCATCATTTTTTCAGCCGGTGATATTGAAGAACTTGTCAGTACAAATGTTCTTATCCAGGTTACCACAGGTAGGTGAACATTTTGTTTTCTAGAATTTGTGTATAAAAAAAAGAAAAGTATGGATCTATGTTCATCAAAAGAAAGATTTCTAACAATGTCTTTCAAATTAAAAAAAAATTGGAAGAAGTGTGTGGTAGAAATAAAATCTGTCATATGTAAATGTAGCAGAATTTGAATTTTTACACTAGGTGCAGCACCCTAATAGTTTTTAACCCGAATGTCATTCCAGATGAAGTACTTTTGAGATAATAATTTTTCTGAATACTGGACTTAATTTTCAGCATGTCAAAAAATTCATTTATCATGCTGATAACCATTATGAAATATTGAATTCTTGTATGTTAAGATAAATATATGTACAGTATTTCATGCATTTTGTAAGCATTCTTCTAAACAAGAATTTCATTTCTGTTAAATATTTTGAAAAATTGATTTATTTAATATTAATACTGGAAATTATTTTGTTGTAGAGGGTGTAGTTGTTCAAACATCTGAAGGTGAAAAAGAGGTAAGATTAAACATCAAGTACTAGTATTCATCAAAGGCAGTGGGTAATAAAACTGCACCAAATCCATACTTTACTGATCAAAGAATGCCCTGCCTTAGTAAACCCCCCCCCTTTCTCTTGAATATTTTGAAATTAGATCTTTAATTCATTAAAGGTGCCTTGACACAAGATTTGAAGTTAAAATTTTCAGATTATTATGACATATGTTGCTGTAGCTTTTCACATGAAATTCTAATAATAAACATTTTATCTGAAAATTATGAAATTTGGGACGTGTTTGATTGACACATCCTTGCATTTTCTCAAAATAAACTTTACCCTAAGAACTTGAAAGAGAAAATTTTGTTGTATACTTATGAAAAATATTAATGAATTAATCCAAAAAATTCATAGCAGAGTTTTGATAAAGAAAACAAACTCACTGGATTGGTCAGTCCATGCTCATTGATACGTTCAGAGTATAATGAATTAAACACACCTGTGAAACGTAAACTGGTTTGAATTAATGAATTAAACACACCTGTGAAACGTAAACTGGTTTTGTAAACAGGGCATCAGCCCTGTTATTGTTAACGTTTCACTGGGAGTGTTCAATTTGTTAAACTCTGCACACATCACTGAGAATGGACTGACAAATACTTGTGAGCTGGTTTTGCATTTGTACATTTCTACTCTGAATTTCATTGATTATAGTTTTAATATTTTTCATTAATATACAAGAAAATTTCTCTTAAGTATAAAGGTTAAAGTTTATTATGTGAAAATGCAAGGCTGTGTCAATCTAACACATCTTGAAATTCCTAGTTTCAAGAATTTCCTGATAAAAATAAGTTTGTTGTTACTGTAAACATGGTTTTTTCGCCTTTTTACACTTGCTGGCAACTTTGCCCCATTTAAAATATGCCCAGCCACATTTCTGTTTAAGAATTTATACATTGTTCTTTGAATTTTCCCTGTTTTAAATTCGCACACTTATGACAAGGGACAAAAGGAAGAAAATTTCTCTGTATACAGTATATTTCGGTGTGAAATGCTACAGCAACATAAGTCATTATGATAAACCAAAAATTTGAGAAAATATTAACTTGAAATCGTGTGTCAAGGCACCTTTAATTGTTGTATTTTTTACAAATTATCTGGATCAGATCAGTAAAACTTATTAAAAATGGCAATATAAAAAGATGCTAACTGTGAAAAACAGTTTTCACCCATGTAGAGTCATAATTTTATGACAATTATATTTTTTATATTGAGTACTTTAATGGCATAATGATGAATTCTTTAATGCAAAAAAGTATAAGCTGATACTTTTACATATACATGACATTTTTCAATTTTGTTTGTAGGGAACTGAAACAGTTGAACAGAAAGAAGAATTAAAACAAGATGAAGAAGTTGCTCCAGAAAAGTCTGAGGAAGTTACAACTGAACCAGAGACCCAAACAACTGTGGAGGACTTTGTGCAGGAAACCACTGACAGGAATACAACTGAACCAGAAACTCAAGGAACCCTGGAGGAGTACATCATGGGACAAGACACTGGTGATGAAAGTGAAGCAGTGACAGCTGAAACCGAGGAAGATCAACAGGAAATCAATACTGAAAGTGAGAACGCAGGTGAGGAAGACGTCGAAGAAGGAAATGGTGTTGAAGAAGTTGAGTCCGCTGAGGGAGATGGTGTAGACATTGATGATGATCAGATGGAGGATGCAGTGGATGAAGAGTTAGAGGCAGAAGAGGAGGAGGAAATTACACAGGAATTGGAAACAGTAGAGGAAGCAATGGAAGATGAGCAGGGGGAGGAGGAAGAAGAAGATGATGAACCAGAGCAGATTAGTCAGAAGAATGTCAAGTCGGTGGTAAAAACTTACCCAAAACGGAAAGGAAAGGCAGATGAATATGATGAAGAAGAAGAACCAAGCCAAGAGGAGATGGAGCCTGTAAGCAAAGGGCGAGGTAGAAAATCTGCAGCTAAAGAATCTGATAAAGAAAGTTCTATATCAGAAACTCCAGAACCTAAGCCTAGGGGTCGTGGTAGGCCACCAAAGGGAAGCAAACCTTCTCCTAGTCCAGCAGTAAGTGATTCTGAACCAAAGAAGAGAGGGCGTCGGTCATCTTTAAAAGAAACAGCTGCAGAAGAAAGCACCGAGAAGGTAACACCATCTAAGGGTAGAGGAAGGCCTAAGAAAAATGAAGCCGAGGAGGAAGGAACACCAGAAGTAAAGTCAGCAAAGCGTGGTAGGGGAAGACCAAAGAAACAATTTCAGGAGGAAGAGCAAGAGGAGGAAGAAGAAGAAATGGAGGAAGAGGAGGAGAATGAAGATGTAGAAGAAGAAGAAGAGGAAGAAGAACCAGTCAGAAAAGGCAGAGGAAGACCAGCTAAAAAAGGAAGAGGACGTCCCAAAAAGCAAGTAAAAGAGACTGTGGAAGATGAGGAGGAGGAGGAGGAGGAAGAGGTAGAACCAGAGGAGCCAAAGTCTGCAAAACGAGGAAGGGGTAGACCCAAAAAGCAACCAGATAGCGAAGTAGAGACTACTGCACGATTAACAAGGAAAACAATTAAAGAGGAACCATCAACTCCCAGCAATGAAACTAAAAAGCGAGGAAGGGGGAAGAAGAATCAAAGTACAGAAAAGGATGAAGATTTGGAAATGGAAGTGGATGATGTTCCTATTGAACTTAGTGAAAATGAGGATGAAGAGGAAGAAAATGTTGAAATCAAGAAAAAGCGTGGCAGGCCTTCAAAATCTGGTGAGAAGACCCCTAAAGGGAGAGGAAGACCAAAGAAAGGAGATAATGAGGAAAAAACTCCAAAAAGAACTCCTTCTGCCACAGCAACATTATCAAAGAAACGCAGTAGAGGAGATGAGGACACTGAATCTCAAGAATCTACAACTGATGATGCACCCACCCCTGCAAAAAAACAAAGGGGACAGACCACTGATGCTGCCACATCTGATGCTTCCACAGGACCCGGTGTTGGTACAATAAAGTATGAACAGTCTGAAGCAGGGCCATCATCCAAAGGTCATACTTTGTTGAAGGAACCTGGACAAGGTGCAATGAATGCAGGAGATGTCTATGACTTTGATCAAATAGACATTGACAATATCATGACAGCTCAGCCTGGAACTTCAAAAGATGTCTCACAAGGCACACAGACCAATTTTGTTGAAGTAGAGTTAATTGAGGAATCTCCTGGAAAACGGTCTGTCTTAACACAAACAGATCCCAGATTGAAGAAAAAGAAGTTTGGTCCAATTGGACAAGACATGGAAACAAGTATGGAAGATGATTTTGACTCCCCAAAGAAGAAGAGGGGTAAAAAGGATGAAGATGTAGGATTGTTTGAGGAGATGGAGAACAAGAGGAGAGGGATTAGAAATACAGAAGAAGCTTTGAATTGCCCTTTTTGTGACAAAGCTTTCATTGGATTGGTAAAGCATATAAAAGGGAAGCATAAAGATGAAACTGATTACGAAGAAGAGATGAGGAATGCCAAGTGGAGAGAAAAGATTATGAGAGTTTCAGTGCAGGGCAATGTAGAAGAAGGGGAACAATGCCCAGAATGTGGAAAAGTAGCCAAGAATATCAAGAGACACATGGAGCTTCATCAGCAAAATAGAATGCAAATTCCTTGTCCAATCTGTGGAAAGGTGGTGCTAAAAACAGGAATGAGTTCCCACATGAGAACAGTGCACTCTGGACGAAAACCCTACAAATGTCCTCACTGTGATTATGCCTCTGCATTCCGAGGCAATCTGAATACACACATGAAGGGAATGCATCTGCATACTAGGCAATATCTCTGCAATACTTGTAAAGCTGCTTTTAAGACACTTGGAGCCCTGATTGGACACACCAAGAGAGTTCATGAAGGATGGAAATCACCCAATCAGAAGATTTTTATCTGCTCTGTATGTGAGAAGCGATTCACCAAGAAATATCACGTAGATCGCCACATGCTGATCCACACAGGAGAAAAGCCTCACAAATGTGGAGACTGTGGCAGATGCTTCAATAACAAATCAAACCTTATGTCCCATATTCAGCTGGTCCACAAGAAGCTGTCACCATACCAGTGTGACATGTGCCACGAAACATTCAAAAGAAAGAAGATGCTTCTGGAGCACATAGGCCGTATTCATGTCACCGCGGGTGAGGCGGCACAAGCTATCATCAGGAAGTTTGAACTGACTGAAGAGGTTGAGGAGGATGAAATGATGCCTGAAGACGAATCTGATGAAGAGGAACAAGGAGCTGAGGTAGGTTAATTTGATTGGGGGGAATAACAAAGATCATTTTCAATAGCTTTAGCTGATTTCCTAGTCATTCAATTATTTAAAGCAATATGAGCTGCAACTTTGATGTTGGAATTTTCTGTTGCAAAATTGTAAATAACTATTTGAATGGCAGAAAAAAAAAATGATTATAAACTTCTGTTGTTCATACATGTATTTGTGATGTAAGAGGTATTTATAAGCTTGGAATCAAAATTGCATTATTGTTGTCCTGTACAATAATGATTTCTTATATAATACTGTATATTCGATTGTAAAGAAGTCTTTCTTCAGAAACAATTTAATGCTTTATTTTAGTCAATTGATCAAAAAGGTTTAAATTACATTTTATTAATAATACATTTTAACAGCAAAATAAAATTTTCAATAAAACATTTGCTTTAAAGTTAAGGTCCTTACAGGGTTTCCAGAGAAAAAAGGTTTATACCCAGGTTTTTTCATTTATAAAAATAGTCATTGACAGACTCTATGTAACAGTGGCTAATAAAGCGTGTGTTATAGATTGAGAGGTAAACAAAAGCACGTGTGTGTGTTTTATCTGATATATTCAACTCTACAATAATAAAAGAATAGCAGAGATGGGTTTGTTTACATTGAGCTGAGGGCCAGACAGTCAACAGGTCGTAATTTAGAATCCTCTGTATGGTGGGAAGTGCAAAGAAGTGACATAATTATGCTGAAAGTGGTGACCCTGCAGAGTTGAGTCGATTATGTGAATCAGGCATCATTAAAAGTTAATAATAAATTCTTGCAAAAATGTTTAATGACATCGTTTCAGAGTGCAAACAACCAGTCTCTTGGTCATTATGAATAATAATTAGACGTTAAGGGACGTAATGCCAAAGAACCCACGCCATATATGTTTGTGACGGAAGTGAAGATTCAACAATGTATTTTATGTGTAAACTTTATGAAATAAATGGGTTTTAGAAAAATCTTATGGATAAAAATAATATAGGACCATTTTATCAACATTTTACATAGGAAATGCATTGAGAATTGTAAAAACATTGGTTTGTCAAAATCTTTAAAGCAGCAGCCAGACCAGGCACAGCCGAAAACTTCTTGAAAAATTCCAAAATCCAGAAACGAGCAGAATTTTTTGCCTGTGTAACTTCTGCTGATTTATCAGTTGTGAAATTTTATAAAACTTATTTATTAAGTGTGAATTTTATGTTTACATTTATTAAGAGACTAATTCTGAGTCTTTGATAAACCAAATAATTTTTCCTTACAGGCTACAAAGACTGTAACAGTGGCTGTCAGGTGAAAGCTTTTACACAAGCTTCTGTATAACTGTAAGCTGTCCAGTACATCATGCAAATGTGAAAGCAGTAGGCTACAAAGGCTGTCTGGTAAGTTCCAAAGCTTCTGTGTAGAAAAAATGTGACTCTCTAGAGAAAAGTGACTCTCTAATCACATTGTAGAATTTTATAAGGACATTTTAGGAATGAAGTTTGTGATTGAAGAAGGTGAATATTGGATTTTTATGAATTTAAAGTTTTTGAATGAAGAAGGTGAATAGTTGTCTTCAATGAATTTTATGCATCTGTATTATATGCAGGTAGTGAGAAGGATGTTTGATCAGATATATGAAAGAAAGGGAATTTTTTGTTGTTGTATCTGTCACGTTGAGATGAAAAAAAAATGTGCATAATACCATGATTGATGTTGTACATACATTACTATTTAGTGTTGCAATACTGAGTCTCATTATATGATCATGTCCAAAATTTGTTAGTGTTTTTGTTTTGCATCAATTAACATGCTAAATATAATGACTGTTAGAGTAAGCTTGATCTGTTAGACTGTATATGATTGTGTGGCAGTACTTGCTACGTTAGAAAGCATGTGCTTGGATGACACTTTTTTTATAGTAGCTATTTTAGCTGTGATCTGCAACATGTGTCCATGTAACTAGTATATCTGTAAAAACGTGTGGTTCCAAATCAACTCCATCACTGTGGCTTGATTCTAGTTTCCTTAGATGCATTATGTATTGTCATTGTGATTTTCATCATGAACACCTGTTTTAATTTTCATCACCATCCTTGTGTTGTTGGTAGGCTGGTAATTGAATTATATGGATATGATCCTTGCCCTTTAAGAGAGATGATTCTGAATCTGCATTGTTCTTTGTTTTGTTCATGTATTGATAATTTCTTTAAGATTGATTCTATCAATGTACGATATCAGTGGTAGCAAGTTGCCTTGCTTTGTATGTGCTAAAATTTCACTTATCAAGACATTCCTTTTGTTGTTGAAGTGAATTTTTATTTCATTTCGATGTATGAAGATAAGAAAGCTCTAAGAGTAGTACAAAAATTGATATGTGGCACTCCTTTAATAAGGTTGAATGTATATATACTTGGATACCTGTTTTAATTGTAAGATTAATTTCATTTTTAAAAAGAATCCCTTCAAAAATGTAGATTCATGTATTTGTCTCATATACAGAAATCTGGTAATGCTTGAAATGTTTTCACCTCAAATCATCCATTATGTTATTTGGATGCAGAGGGTATTCATTTACTATGCTTGCTGATTTAAGGTTGTAAATAATGTTTATGGAAGATGAGATTTTAACTGAATGAAGATTATAAACATGTACACTGATCAAATTTGTAAACATTTTCATTATAGCATGAAATAAATAATAGAACAATGTATTCCTCTGTTGTACCAGGTGACATACTTTTTTCTTTTTTTTAGATTAAGGGGGATGTTGGATCTAGTCTGGTGTAAAATAAGAAAACTTATTTACCCAAAGTGCTAATGCACTTATTTCCTACTGTTAGAGACCAAAATTAATAAATAATTAAGTTTATTTTGTGTTAATTAGGAGGAAATTAGTCATGTTAGAAGCAGCTACACATTCACGGATGAAAAATGCATGAAAATTTAAATTTGATTCAGAAATATGGCTACAACCATTTGTTTCGCTTTTTTCTTGTCATTATCCATAATTCTTGAAAATTTGATTTTTCATATGGGTGTCTTCCTGGGGCCATGTGTTTATTTCGCCCCTTTCACACAGAGTAGGTAGATTAATAATAATCATTAGATCACATCGTCTGATTAATGAACATGTGCTGTTTTGTTTACTGTGCATTCCAGAAAAGCTACATGTATGTTGCAGTTTTCTGATGATGTATAGATTCTAAATCAAATCATGGCCTTTGGGTGGGGTAAGGCCATAGTAGGGCATCAAAGTTTTACATTTGAAAAATATGGACAACTTTAAAGAACCACTGGATCAGAAAAGGCAAAATGTGGAATCATCCTTTGTGGTAGAATTGTTCAAATTATGTCCCTAATAGAGATGAAAAGTCTTATCTTAAAACTTAAAGAAAAACTTAAAAAATCAATGACGAAGAATCAAGGGGACAGGGAAAGTAAAATTTCAGTCAAAAAATCCTAGGGTGAATTAAAAACATGGTCTCCTAAGGTGGGGCTATGAAGGGATTGAAGTTAAAATTGTGCAAGAAAAATCTTGAAAGCAACACTTATGAAGAGTCTGGATTCATTCTTTTGAGGTAATCCATCCGACCGGTCACACCCGCCGTGTGCTCCCTGTCATGATCAGGGGAAAATCCGTGGATCCGGACAACTCCGTGTGTAAATAATGGCCGAACAATCAGTGAGAAAAAGTCTGTAAAAGAGACAACTGATATTTTTGCTTCATGAACTTGTTTGTCAACAACTTACATCGTTTTAGAAATTTTTCATACATAGAGCATACTCTTCCGTATCGAATCAACTGAGTGATTTAAACTCCATATGTAGTTGACAACGGTACATTGCTGCATAAGTAAGGGAAGTTGACGATTGAAAAGTTAAAGCCATCACGTATTAACTATTATCCTCCTTTTCAAGTAAAACATCAAAATATGAAACAAATATGCCAGACTTTGTGGTATCTTATTTCTAGCTCACCGTTTTATATCATGTCGACATAAGAATGGAATTAACTATTGTTAATTGACAATTGACGATATATCAAAATGTCTAGGTCACACAAGAGTTTTTTTATTTTCTTGTATTTTGAACGAATTCTGCTCCATATGAATACAAAAATAGGTCTGCTAATAACGGGGCACAGTAGGTACCCATGGAAATATCAATAGATTGTCGGAAGATCTGGTCTCCAAAAACCACATACATATATTATACATGTATAAAGAAATTGTCAATCAGATACTCGAGCATCTTTTTAATATCAACTTCAGTATCTCTTGAGGCAGATCAATAAATTAAAGATGTCTTTCATTTACAGTATTTAACAAATAGCATTAATTAAATGAAACATTGCTCTTATCAATATACACATGAACAATATTGATAAACAATATTAAAATATTTTACGTATAATTTCAATTTTGATAACCTGAAACATTTCAAAGATGTTTCATATTTCACGTGTATCGTATAACTTGAAACAACACTTTCACTTATATATAGGTAACATATTTGACCTTATGAATTTGCGGTACTTTGGCCCACTTTGCCAAGTTTACTACACTAACTTTTGAAGGGTTGTTGCTTAGGCCTTTAATTCATAGTACTGGAGTATTCGTCCTGATACGTCTTTCAATGAGTACAAATATTTTTTTTATACCCCCCGCTTGAAAAGCGGGAGGGTATATAGTAATCGTTAATTCCGTCCGACTTTGTGGTATCTTATTTCTAGCTCACCGTTTTATATCATGTCGACATAAGAATGGAAATAACTATTGACAATTGACGATATATCAAAATGTCTGTACGTCCGTTTTTTTTTTATTTTCTTGTCCGTCCGTCCGTCTGTCTGTCCGTCCGTCCGTCCGTCTGTTACGCTTTGGGGTACCACATCATATATTATCCGCAACTCCTCTCATACCACTGAATGAAATTTGATGAAACTTTCACAGAATCTTTATTACATATTGCCATTGTGCACCTCCTATTTTACTTTTTGATCAGACACATATTTTGGGTTTCCCGGCCATAGGAAAACATGGAATTTTTCACCAGTTATAACCATATGGGAGGCGGGGGGTATCATTTAGTGAGCTCATCGCTCACAGTACCTCTAGTTTACCTTGGCTTTAATTACAGTTTTAACTTATTTCGATAAAAAAACTTTAACAATGTTTATAATCTTGATTGGTTTCATTTATGAGGCTTTTCTTATTTCACATTAAAATTCCTTGTAAGATCTTTAATACCAACAATTTTATGAGAGGCTTTAACTTGGCAATAAACTGTCGATCATATACTAACAGATGCTTGAGGACAGCCCCCCTCCCCCTATAGACCTCGGGCCTTTTAGACTTTTATATACCCCCCGCTTGAAAAGCGGGAGGGTATATAGTAATCGTCAATTCCGTCCGTCTGTACGTCCGTCCGTCTGTTACGCTTTGGGGTACCCATCTCTTATCCGCAACTCCTCTTATACCACTGAATGAAATTTGATGAAACTTTCTCAGAATCTTTATTACATATTGCCATTGTGCACCTCCTATGTTATTTTTTGATCCGACACATATTTTGGGTTTCCCATAGCAAAACATGGACACTGCCATTTATACACATATGGGAGGCGGGGGGTATCATTTAGTGATCCCATTGCTCACAGTACCTCTAGTTTTACATGAATTATATATGGATGACACATTTGTAATATACAGTGTAATCTATTCTATCAAATCAGAAAATTTGCTCAGTTTAACAAATATTTTATTTAAAAAAATCTACCCAGCTATATATAATATATTTATATTAAGTATATACATGTAGAATGCAGGTTAGATTTTATTTTAACGTTAGGTAATTATTTTAAATTGTTGGTATAGATTTTATCACAAATATATCATTGAAAGATAATTTATGAGAAAAAAGTCGAAAGTCCCAGGGGTCTATATCGAAAAGAGGGGGGAGGGGGTCCCGTCCTCAAGCAACTTTGATCATACTTAGGCATCACATTTTTAAAAAGATTTTCCCTCTTTTTTTTAAAGATACATGTACTTGTTAATTTTATTTTCTCTTCCATGAATAGTTGACAAATATTTTATATACCTTTTAGTTTAACAAGACTTAAATGATATAAGATTATAAATATGTCGGATCTCGAGGGGTTTCCTTTTATTCTATACCAACATCATGAACATGAAGACGAAAAGCAAGTTTCATCACTTGTCCCGTTTTATTTCAAACTAGAGGTACTGTGAGCAATGGGCTCACTAAATGATACCCCCAGCCTCCCATATGAATATTATGGCAGTGTTCATGTTTTGCTCTGGAAAATCCAAAATATATGTCAGATCAAAAAGTAAAATAGGAGGTGCACAATGGCAATATGTAATGAAGATTCTGTGAAAGTTTCATTAAATTTCCTTCAGTGGTATGAGAGGAGTTGCGGATAAGAGATGGGTACCCCAAAGCGTAACAGACGGACGGACGGACGGAAATACCGATTGCTATATACCCTCCCACTTTTCAAGCGGGGGGTATAAATATACTCCATTTAATGTCCATCTACAATAACTGAACAACAGGCGCGTTATTCAAATTTTCACATTCACATTTCCTACTTTTTGGTCGAAGGCTCCATACTACCCTTCCCAAGTGAAACTATTGGATCCATCCCTGTTGATATTTAAATCAGAACGCGAAATAAAGACTACCTAAAGTCACTGTTACAGAGGACACAAAGATAAACAAGCAAATTCAAAGAATTGTGGTCCCCCGCTTTCGGTGTCTTTATCGGTTATATGTCATTTTTTTATGACACATTGTCTCAAATATGAAAGCCCTATTATGTATCATTTAGAAATTATCACTGAATTTGATTATTTTTAAAAATAAGGTCAATCACGAAGGTCAAGGTTCATGGGTCACAAATCATAGCATGCTTGGAAATGTACTGTCACAGGTAAGGCACATGTCAAATATGAAAGCCATATTTCTTCTCAATATAAGGATCAAGATGTGCTTGAGAAACACTGATGACCTGTATGGCAGCAAAGCAAAGATTAAACTTTTCTTAAATGCAAATTAAATATATTATTTCCCGAAAGTCAAGGTCATTCATGATATCCAATGAAAGGCGCTGTCACAAGGATTAGATATTTGAAACATGAAAGCCTTAGCCCTAACCTTTGAAAGGTTATGGCTAAGGCTTGTTTTCTAAAGTAGGTCAAAATCCAAGGTCAAGGTCAAAAAGTCAGAGTTCTTTGTATCCAATGAAAGGTCTTTTCACATTGATTACAAATGTGAAGTATGAAAGCCCTATCTCTTATCGTTCAAAAGTTATGGTCAAGGTTAAAGTTTTTTCATAGGTACATAAATCTCTAACTAAGGTCAAGGTGATTAGGTCAAGGTTATTGGTATCCAATGAAAGATCTTGCCACAAAGAATACATATGTGAAAAATTAAAGTACTAGTATCTACCATTCAAAAGTTATGGCCAAAGTAAAAGTTAGGATTTTTTGTGTAAAAGTGGGTCAAACTCCAAGGTCAAGGTCAAAAGGTCAAATTTGGTGGTACCCAAAGAAAGGTCTTGTCACAATAAATACACATGTGAAATATGAAAGTCATAGCTCCACTAAATTAAAAGTTATGGGCAAGGTTAAAGTTTTTGTGACGGACGGACAGACAGACAGACTGACAGACAGACGAATGAGATT